TGTGTGAGTGCATGTGTGCGTGCGTGCGTGTGTGCGTGTGTGCGTGCGTGCGTGTGTGTGTGTGTGTGTGTGAGTGCGTGTGCTACGTTACCTTGAGGCGCTGTAGCTCGGCGGTGTTCTCTGCCTTCAGCAGGACGCTGGCTTCGAGTGGCCGCTTCACGTCGTTGTTTGTGATGTTAGACAGCTCCTCCAGCAGCTCCGACACACTATGCAGCTGCTCCATCACCTTATTCACCTCCAGCGGGTCAAAGGTCATGTTCGACACGCGCTCGTACAGCTCTCTCGCTGCCCTGCATCGACAGTGATGGGAGGCATTAGCGATCAACATCGACAATAATTAATTATTAATTAATTATTCCTACCAGGAGGTGCATTATCTAATACAGATCAAACACGTTCACAGTTATCAACACCACTCACATTCATTTGATTTACGGGTATTGTATAACATTTAACATATTATAAATTACGATGCGTGCTAATACTGCCTTTCATGTATTTATGTTGTAAACAAAATTTACGCAGATAATCAATCAACATTTAGCTGTAAATGCACATTTATGTCCACGTATCCATTCATGAATATCATCTAAACTCATTACATTATTGTTATTTTTATTGTTATTTTTGTTGTTGTTTTTGTTGTTGTTGTTGTTGCTGTTGTTGGTGGTGGTGGTGATGGTGGTGTTGTTGTTCTTGTTGTTGATACTACTATTTTATTAATTTGTTATTATTATTATCATTATTATTGTTATTGTTGTTGTTGTCATTATTATACATTATGACAGTATATTATGGGATATCTACAGCACTTTCTACATGACCGGGCGCGTATATGTACACACTCGAGTTCGTTCTCAGTGTTGAACTTGTCGATGCGGAACTTGCGGTTGTTGATCTCGATGAGGATGGCTTCAGCCTCCTTCAACGCCTCGCTGATGTTGATGCCGACACTCGGACCCTGCAGGAACTTGTCCAGGTTGCTGACAGCCTCTGCCAAGAACACACGCGGCAATAAGCAAAGGTCACCAGGAGTTAGAGCGAAGATATCAGGGGGTTAATAATGACAAAAAATAATTTGTCATTATATTAACCCCTGATAATGATATTGACATTACTTGCTATTTGTTGACATTTGTCATTTGTTGACATTATTTGTTATTTGTTATAATGACGTTGACATGATTTGTCATTATTAATCCCTGAATATAGGAAAGCACTTGCATTGTGTTCTACGTTACTTCGTGTGCATTCTTCTTCTATTAACAAGTGTAATTTAGTGTATACCTCGTCCGTAAAGCCCACCGCACACCAGACGATTTTTACAAACGATGAAACGATGAAACGATGAAACGATGAAACGATGAAACGATGTAGGTGTGCGGGTTCATTTGTAGACGATTTTATTTTTATCGGACGATAATTCCAAAATCAAACATGTTTGATTTTGGAACGATTATTTGGACGCGATTTTGTGGTGTGCGCGTGACCTTGTGTAAATTTCCACACTCAATTCGCATTGTTCGCTTGATTGTTCGCTTGGACGCATTGTATTTTTTTCTCAGCTCGCATATTCAGGCCCCCGCACACCATCGTTTCATCGTTTCATCGTTTCATCGTTTCATCGTTTGTAAAAATCGTCTGGTGTGCGGTGGCCTTAACATTGCGCTTTATTTATACGTGGACAACAATAGAATTATGGATTTTTTCCTGTCATCTAATTTGTGCGATTAAGCGTTTTTTTATGCTTGAGGTTTATTATGCTGTGTTTGGATGCTAAATTCAAAAAAAAATTTATATTAAAAGTGAGGTCCAACCTTTTATTTCAGCATCTAGGAGCTGTACATCTTCTTCGAATGCCCTGGCTTCCTGCTTCACTGCTGCAGCCTTCGAGGAAACCCGGTCTGCCTGCCTTCCTGCAGACCTCGCCTGTAACATGTACACACACACACAGGTTGCAGTTAGGGCTAACAATCGTTCCCACCTGTGCAGAATCCCTAGCAACATGGAGTTTCATTAACACTGAACAGCATGATGCGTGCATGAGATTACGTGAAAACTAAAACGCGAGACAACAGTAGGTAACCAGTTGGTAGATAAAACCTAGTTAGTTGGTAGATGTCCTACTAATTCTATATACAGAGATATTTAAAAACACCGTGATGAAATAGCAGACGACATTGATTAAAAATAAATAATTTTAATTATGTTTAGAAAAATAGAATCCAGGTGGCGCTTGCATCAACAGTCGTTCATCACCTCGATCAGTAGGATGTTGAATTCGGACTCAGAGCTGAACACGGTGGGTCCGATCAGATCAATGGTAGACACGGCCCATGTGTAGTTGTCCACCGCTTCCCGGAGCATGTCCGCGCGCTTCCTAATCCTCACCAGAGGGAGCCACGGTGCGGGGGTCAGACCACTGATGTTAAGGTCTTTGGTCATGTTCATGAGTTCATCAATGCTGGCCATCAGCTTGCCCGGACATCCCTCATCACACGCTGCAGCATCAATGTACGAGTGCTTCAGCATCAATACCAACCAAGTGCATCATAACTGAATGATACTTTGTACTTCATTGTAATGGGCTTTTAAAAATGAATAAATTACACTAAATAAGCTTTTAATATTATTTTTCTCCAAGGATTCGGGGGCAGCTACTGAGGTGGCATTAACAGAGAGAGAGAGAGAGAGAGAGAGAAAGAGAGAGCGAGAGAGAGAGAGAGAGCGAGAGAGAGAGAGAGAGCGGACAAATTGACTCAAATCTTGTCATATAATGACAAATTTGTGTATCATTGTTAAACCTGCTGATATTATTATTCTGTGATGCAATGATGGCGTTTATAACCCGGCATAGCATTATTAATTTATAAGCATATACTTTAATCATGATCCTC